GGATAGTATGGAAGGGAGGAATGGGAGGAGGTGACCAATGGGTACTAAGTTACAGTTAGACAGGAGCAAGAAGTACTGGTTGTATTGCCCAGAAGGGTAAGTATAGATGCCAGTAACAAACCATACATTTCGTTCTCACCATCAAGAATTAGTAAATTGTTTTAGGAGATGGAGATGCTTAACTCAATTTAAGAATTACTTGATTGAAAGATCACATGGAACCCCACAAATATAAGCATATATTAGTTAAAATAAATTTAATCAAAACCAAAGGAAATAGAGTCAGGGCCTGCAAGGTTCCCAACAATCTGTTCTTTCATTTGCTCCCCAGTTCTCTCTTTAATGACGGTGTTGCCTGGTACACAGAGAGAAAATTGTTTTCTTTGCCAGTTGTCCAAATAGTGGAAATTTCCTGAATTCTTTGCTGCAGTTTCTCTAAGTCAGTGGACATATGCTGTTGTTTGAAAGAGCTATCTGTTACTAAGGGAGAACAGAAGTAAAAGAGAAAGAGGCTTGCATACCAACTCTCTGGGATAGGGAGCAAAGCCTTCCTAGAGATGTAAAAGACAGTGACCACAGTGGTCAGGCTTGTCGTCATAAAACTGAACCCTGAAACCCAACCTGTGGGTCCCTAGGTCTCAGAGGTATTAAGACAGAGAGGAACCAAGAAAGAAGTCACAATCAGATTGTTAGAACTGGGCTCTGTGCTGTACCACACAGGCTCTGTTGACAGACTGAGGCCACCCTGCCCTCTCTCTTGCTTTTCCTCTCCTCTGCTGCCCCCAGAGCTGCTCACTACTGTCCAAGTGTTCAAGCTGTTCCCTCCCCCATGCTCACACCTCTCTGTCTCTGTCGAGTTCTCCCCATCAGATTCCCCCTTCCTCCTACATTAAATGTGGGAACACCTTCTCCAGGCAGTCCCACCCTGGCCATGCTGCATCCTCGGAGGTGTTATTCTGGGGTGTTCCTACACCCTCTGTCGATCTCCATCATTGCATAAGTCACATGATATCCTGTTTGTTGCTTTGGGTCTGGAGCTCCTCCAGGCATCCAAACACATTGAGGTTAGATGTCAAGTCTGCCCCATCTTTGCACACTTGAGTTTAGGTAGGCTTGGAATATTTGAGGGGCCATTTCCCACCATCTGCTTTCATCTGTTTTGTAAAATCTTGAAATATTTAAAGTCTTAAGGCCCATATTGATATCTCAAGTTTTACCTATACTGATCCAATATAATTAAGTGTTTTGCTTTTTCTCTAAATGTTTGAAGTGAGTTAGTTTCAGTTAGCTAATGTAGTCTAACAAGTGACCTCAAAACTTTGTGGCTTAAAATAACAGTGGATTGTCTCTCACAGAGTGAGTCTTCTTCATCAAGTTAGGGCAGTAAGGACCTGCAGTCTTCTGAAAGCTTGACCAGGGCTTTGGCTGAGGTTGGAATGGCTGGAAATGCCGATGTTTTAGGAGTTGGATCAGGACTGTCTGCTGTGGGCCTTGGTTCTTCTCCTGGCCTCTAGTCGCTTCATGTACTGCTTCACAACATGGTGGCTGGCTTCCAAGGAGGACTATGCCAACAGTCAGCACTCCAAGATGGAGGAAGCAGAAGCTGCCAGGTGCATTAGGGGGTAGCCTGGGAACTGGCCAAGTGTTACTTCCTGTGTGTTTGATGAATGAAAGCACTGAGGAGCCGGCCTGCAGTCTGCAGGAGAGAAGTGCAGAAGGGCAGCTCTGAGGAAGGTGCTCATCTGGGTCATTGAAATAGTAGTTGAGGAGGTTTAATAATAGCTGTTCTTTTGTTATCTCAGATAAATGAAACATGAAATAAATGACCACATGGCTCAGCGATCCCTTTTCTGGGTAAAGGGATCAAAAGAAAGGACTTGAGTCTCTGCACACCAGTGTCCATAGCAGCATCATTCGCCACAGCCAAAGGGTGGGCACCGCCTAAGTTCCCACTGGTGGATGAGTGGCTAAACACAATAGGATGCTGCCGTTATCCATTTGGCCTGCCTTAACAAAGAATCACGGACTGAGTGGTTTACAAGCCAGAGAAGTTTCTTAACAGTATGGAGACTGGCGAATCCATGAGCAAAGTATAGGCAGAATCCAGTTTCTGGTGAGTGCTTTCTTTGACCTCTCTTATTGCAGTATTTTCACACAATGAGAAGCATGAGGAGTCTCTGCGTGGTATCTTTTCATTCTAAGCCTGTCCCCTGTGACTCCATTACCTCCCAACATCACCATGTTGGGTGCTAGGATTTCAGCATATAAATTTGTGGAGTATACAAATGGTCAGACCACAGTAGATGTGTACACAGTGGCATATTGTTCACCCTTAAGACAAAATGAATTTCTGACACAAATGGTAACAAGCCAGACACAAAAGGAAAAACGTGAGTCTCCCGATAGGAGGAAGCTAGAGTAGCCAAATCCACAGAAACAGAAGGTAGAACAGTGGTTACCAAGGGCTGGAGGAGAAGGGAACGGAAGTTAGTTTAGGGTGTAGTTTCACTTGGGAAAATGAACAATGACAGTGGTTACACAGTGTTGTGACTGATTAATCTGCTGAACTGTACAATTTAAATGACTAAAATGGTAAATTCATTCCGCATCTCCTACCACAATAAAATATTCTTCTGAATTATGCGTGAGCATGAAATATTGATGTTACTTTTTTTCCCAGTATATATTATAGCCAAGTCAGCATTGACTTGTTTTACAGGTAACTAACTCCCTGTTTTGTTAAAAGACTGGACCAGAAGTGATGGCACCATTTGGAAATTTGTCAGCTAGAGACTCTCAGGCCCACTGAATACACTGAATCAGAACCTGCTGTCCAACAAGGACCCTGATACTCATGTACTTGTCAGTGTATGAAAAACACTGAATTACTTGAACATAATGCTATGTTTTGTTTTTTGGATATTCAAATAGATATTTGCCACACTAATTGTATTTTCTATTTTTCATTTCGGCATCATTTGGCATTATTTCAACCCTTACATATTTTCATTGGACTTTGAGATGGTCCTGGATCGTTGGCACCATGCCAGGAATGCCTGGAGAACACCATTAGTAAATTCTGGACATAGTCACATCCTCTCTCCTTTTAATGCCTCATTTCCCCCTCTGTGGCTGCATTTCTTCCCATCAGCTTTCAGGTTTCCACTGGGGCTCTTGCCGTTAAGGCTGCTAGAAAGACTGAGCCTGTGGCTGGAGCACCTCAAAGCAGACCTAATTTCTCCCTAGGACACCTTGACCCAGTTCACATTTAGGGAGGCCAAATCAGTCTTGTTCTTCCAATTACTGAATGATAAACTTTTAAGTCCCCATTCCAAACCAAAATGATTTCCTGGAGTTTAATATTCATACAGGAGGGTGCACATATTAGTCTACAATTCAGTAGATTTTTTTCTTTTCTCTCTCTCTCTTTTTTTTTTTTTTTTTATTTTTCGAGACAGGGTTTCTCTGTGTAGCTTTGCGCCTTTCCTGGATCTCACTCTGTAGCCCAGGCTGGCCTCGAACTCACAGAGATCCACCTGCCTCTGCCTCCCAAGTGCTGGGATTAAAGGCGTGCGCCACCACCGCCCGGCCTCTTTTTGGTTTTTTAAGACAGGGTTTCTCTCTGTGTCTTTGGCTATCCTGGAACTCACTCTGTAGATCATGCTATCCTCGAACTTGGAGATCTGCATGCCTCTGCCTCCCAAGTACTGGGATTAAAGATGTGTACCACTACTGCCTGGCTGTTCAGTAGATTTTCATATGCTCTCAGATGCAACCCCTAGATTCAGTAACAGTGTAATTACTCATTTCTAATTCTCCTAATTACTAGGGAGCCTTCTCAGTCACCATCCCCCCAAAGGTCTACCACTAATTAGACCATAGCATTGCCTGGTTTCTGCCAACTTTTGTGCCTTTATAATAGAATGGTGCAGAACATTCATTTCTTTATGAATAGCTTTTTTTCAGGTCAACTCTAAATTTGTGAGATTCCGTATATGTAGTTGTATGTAATTCTTAGTGCCATGTAGTGTGCCATTGTGTGAATTTGTCACAATTAGACATTTATTCTCCTGGAGCATTTGAGCAGTTTCCAGTTTGGGGCTCTTACAAACAGTGCAGGTGGACACAGCCCGGTGCTTCTGTGGGGAAGAAACACCTGCCACAATTCTTTGTTGTTCTGGGTGTGGAATGGCTGGGTCAGAGGATACTCCTAGGGTTAACCAAGCCATTTTCCACACTGTTACCCCCATTCGAATCTAAAAGCAAACACTCCCACCCCCTTTCTGTTCCTTAAGAGTCATGGCAAATTTCAAACAGGACGTTGTCCTCACATGTAAGATTTACAAATTTTCACCGGAACGTTGGTGCCAACACTTCAAACACAAACACTCCAAACCCTCCGTGGCGGCAGAGTGGAAAAGCATGAATCAGATGACAGCTGTAATGCAAGATGCTGAGGGCTTCCTTTGTTGTTGAGAGGGCTGGGGAGCCTTTTGCAGAAGCTGCTGCCTGTCAGGCTTGCCCGTCTTTGTAGGGCTAATTACCAGCACTTGGGCAAGCAAGGGGGCGGGCATGTGCACAGTGATACCAACTGAGCCATCACCAGGCTTATGACTAATTAGAAATGCAAAGTGCTCAAAGGTTCAATCCACCACCACCACCCCGGACAGAAGCCGCCCCCCCCCCCACCCCACCCCACCTCTTCAGAATTCTAATGTCAGCATGCTTGTGATTTGGGGCTTAGGAGCAGGAACGCTTGCAAAAATCTGCCGCTGCTGACTGAATCACACAGCGCGCACCCTACGTCATGCGGCTTCCCTCCCAATCATGCATCGTGGATAAGTTTCCTTTGTGTCGCTCAGGGTTCGGAGGAAGCCTGTCAGTTCCATTTCCAGGACTCCCTGGATCCTAGCATACTAAGCACGTTATTCCTCTGTGCTCACCACGCATAGAGGAGCAGAGCCACGGTAATCCAGGCCCCTGCAGTGGTGGGTGGGGCAGAGCGGTTACAAGCAAGCTTTGATCCCCGCTAGCTGCAAACCACTACTCACACACAAGGCATGCAAATTAGGCCCCAATTAATAGCGCTTATTAACATCTCCTGGAACCAAGCAGGAGAAACTGGGAGGGTTTGCTGGGGAGGAAAGCAGCATTTAAGCACCACATTGAAAAGGCATGTCTGGTCAGGAGAAAAATCCCTGGGCTTGCCTTGCCGGGAGGTAAGAACCAAGCGTCTGCCGCTGGGCTGCTTAGGTGCCCTCAGGTCATTTGGAAAAGTGTCTACATGGTTCCTGCTTGAGGCGTGGTTTGATGGGAGCCAAGGAATCAGATGAGAACAAACTTCCCTGCTTCCCCTTTCTCCTGGGACGCCGTGTGGTCTAAGCTCTAAGGAGTTCTGAATGAACAGCCTCTGAGAGGACTAGGTAGCACAGCCCCAGGCCCTGAAGAAACGGACTAAGCTGGGTGGGGGTGGGGGCGGGGCGGGGCGGAGGTGGGGGCAGGGAGACTATTGTTTAAAAGATGGCTGAAAAATTGCACTAATAGGCGCCTTGATGGCTCTAGGATGGGGCTTCATCCCTTCCAAGTGAAGTTGCAGAATGAAAATTTAAATGCCTAAAATATACCATCATATTACCTTAAGACGCAACTATCAAAATATTTGAAACATAGTACGGCAACAAATGTGCTTTAGAATCACGAACTATTAAACTCCAATGACTGTAATAATGTCAAACAGTGACGGCCAGGGGTGCTATTCTGAGCCATCTAGGGCAACTATAATGTTATACTCACAGGTGCTGTCAGGGTTCTGGTTGGGGGTTGCCTATTTTTATGATTGAAGGAAATGCAAAAACCGTGGTTAGTGGTTACAGAAAATAAAGACGTAATTTCTTCCTTTTCGGTTTTACAAATTCCCTGCCTTTTCAGCACAGGCTTCTAGGTTAAAAACCCATGAAGAAGTCAGGCGTGGTGGCATATGCCTTTAATATCAGCCCTTGGGAGGCAGAGGCAGGTGGATTTCTGTGAGTTTGAAGCCAGACTGGCCTACAGAGTGAGTTCCAGTACAGCCAGGGTTACACAAAGAAACTCTGTCCAAAAAACTAAACCAAACCAAACAAAAAAAGCATGAAGATGGTTTGCTAACAGCTAGTGCCTCCCACTGTATGGAGATGGCAGGGATGGTAAGTTTTTGGTTATTTGGTGTCACTGTGACACCAAATAGAAACTCCTGAATGGAGTTATTTTGGCTCCTGGCTTCAGGAGCTCTTGGTCCATCATGGCGGAGTTCATGGTCACAGGACTGTGGGATAGAAGCTCACCATACCATACAGACCAGGAAGTAGTGAATAGCTGAAACTAGGGGCAGGCCTAGTGCTGTAGGATGTTCTGTATGGCAAATGTGTTGCTCTGATTGGTTATAAAACACTGATTGGCCAGTAGTCAGGCAGGAGGAAGTATAGGCAGGACAAGGAGGAGAATAAAGCTGGGAAGTGGAAGACACTGCCAGCTGCCGCCATGACAAACAGCATGTGAAGATGCCTGTAAGCCACGAGTCACATGGCAAGGTATAAATTTATAGAAATGGATTAATTTAAGATATAAGAACAGTTAACAAGAAGCCTGCCACGGCCATACAGTTTGTAAGCAATATAAGTCTCTGTGTTTACTTGGTTGGGTCTGAGTGGCTGCGGGATTTGTCCTGACTGTGGGCCAGGCAGGAAAACTCTAGCTACAGGGCTATAACCCTCAAGGTCCACCCTACTGACCTACTTCTGTGAGCTAGCCCCACATCCTAAATGTCCCATGCCTTACCTCCAAACAGTGCCCATCAGATGACAGTCTCTCAAAATATGAACCTGTCAGGATTTTTACAATCTGAACTATAACATTCCACATTTGACACATCTCATAATGTAAAAACATTCAGTCCAACTTCGGGAGTCCCTATATTCATTTTTGGTGCGTACTAGAGTGAGGGTCTAACTATGTAGTCTTGGCTGGTCTGGAGCTCACTGTGTAGACCAGGCTAGTCTTGAACTCATAGAGATCCACCTGATTCTGCCTCCTGAGTCCTGGGAACAAAGGAGTGCACCACCATGCCCAGCCCAAGTCCCTATGGTCTTAACAATCCAGTACTGTTCAAAGTCCAAAGCCTCTTCTGAGATAGAAGGCAAACTCTTATCTGTGAGCCCCTGTGAAATAAAAAGAAAATTATGTACTTCCAAAGGACAGTGGCAGAGTAGCATTTTTATTCCAAAAGGCATGAGCAGAATGCTGGCAAGGAAAGACTGGACTAAGTAAAATTGAAACTCAGGGAGGCAAACATTAAATCCTATAGCTCTGTGCTCAGAATCCTACATACGGGGTGTTATGATATGGGACGTAGGTACCAAGAGGCTTAAGCCCTGCTCCTATGGTTCTAGTGCCTGTCACATGAACACTAGCTTCATCCAGTGACTGTAATTCCATCAACAGTTGTCCCATATTCTTGGTATTTCCAGCATCCTAACGTCTCCAGGGCAACCTAGGCTTCCCCCTGAGTTTTGTACGTGGCCTATTCAGGGGTGCCTACCTGCAAGGACTCTGATACTGGTATTCATTGCCTTGCATTCCAGACTTTTCTCTAAAGTCTTGGGACAAGCCTCTATGATCCATAATTCTTTTATTTTGCACACCTGAAACACCAGGGCCCTATGGCCAATGCCAGGTTCTGTTGTTAGCCTGAGAAGTATCCTGTCCCTCTCGGACCTTACTGCAGTGTCCTCTAAGTGCCTTCATGATTGAACTTGGAGAAATACTTTGCTGTTTGTGCCTGTTTGTGCAGGGAATCACTGAAGATCTCATCAGAGGGAAGTCTTCCAATGAATTTTTAGTGTTACACAAAGGGCCTTTCAATGGCAGGGACTCATTCTCAAGGAGATTGTCCTGTTGTCTAGTGCAAAGTGCAAGGGTTCTTGTGTGTATGTGTATGTGTATGTTGTGCTTATGAATGTCCAGGTACCTGGGCCTGTGTATGTATGTGGAGGCCATCAGGCATCTTTCTCTGTACTATGTGTGTATCTTATTACCCTGAGACAGGATCTCTCACTGAATAGAAAGTTTGCTCTTTCTGCTGGTTAATGGACTCTTGGGATCCTTATGTGTCTGTCCCCCAGTGTTGGGGTTCTAGGCATATGTAGCCATGCCAGGCTTTTTACATGGGTGCTGAAGGTTTTAACTCAGATCCTCTTACTTACACAGCAAGTACCATTACCCACTGCATCATTTCCCCATTATGCCAAAGATTTAAAAAAACATTTATTTTTATTCTTGTGTATATGTGTGTACACATGATGTGTGGAGGAGTGTGCATACTACAATGTGAGTGAAGAGGTCACAAGGCAACTTTGTAGGGTTGATCTTCTTCCTTCTACCATTAGGTAGGTTCTGGAGATTGAATTCAGGCTGCCAGGCTTGCTCAGCAAGCACCTTAAACCATTGAGCCATCTCCTAGCCCTGAAGCCGACTTCCTCCTCCTTCTCCTCTTCCTCCCTCTCCTCCTCCTTGTCATCTTCTTGCTGTTGTTGTTGTTGCTCTTCTTCTTCTTCTTCTTCTTCTTCTTCTTCTTCTTCTTCTTCTTCTTCTTCTTCTTCTTCTTCTTCTCCTTCTCCTCCTCCTCCTCCTCCTCCTCCTCCTCCTCCTCCTCCTTCTCCTTCTCCTTCTCCTTCTCCTCCTTCTTCTTCCTTATGAGACAGAGTTTATCTGTGTAACCTTGACTGTCTTGAAACTCTCTCTGTAGACCAGGCTGGCCTTGAACTCACATATATCCACCTGCCTCTACCTCCTGAGTACTGGGACTAAAGGTGTGTGTCACCACTGCCTGGCTGAAGACTTCCTTTTAGTGGTGCTAATTTCTTTAAAAACTGTGGCCCCTTTTTCATCATTTCAAATACATCTGCCCCCCCCTTTTTTTTTGTCAAACTGGATGTTTTTCAAACCTTTCTGCTCTGCTTTTTGCTCCTGATTTCTCTGTGAACATGGCTAAAAGCAGCCAGCAATATTCATGTTATACTGTCTTCAGATTTCCTCCACCATTACTTTTTAAATCATTCTCACTCAAATTTTTACAACACAGGCAGAACATGGACTATTTCTTTGCTAGAATGTAGTACAAATAGACGCTAGTACAATTGCCAGCAGAGTTCACATTCCCATTTGTTCCCTCTATTTCTCTCAGTATTCTCATAGTCTTTTCAACTCCCACCAGAATTGTCCATCTTATAGTATTACATAAGATTACTTATAAGCTTTATAGTATTACAATCTTACAATATTCTATACTATAATACTTACAGTATTTATTCTAAAGCTTTGCCAGCCTAAACTTCAAAGTTTTCCAAATTATTCCTATACACCACTTCCAGAAGTCCTAAGAATCTGATCGTCAGGCTTATGGCATCAACCCCACTCCTGGTACCAATCTTTTGCATTAGTTACTTTTCTTGTCACTGGAAAAAGTATCTGGCAGAAGCAATTTAGAATGTGGAAGATTTACTTCACTGCCTAATGCAGGGACTGCAGTTAGTCCATCATGGTGGGAAAGGCATGGTAGCTGAAGCAGTTGGTTCTTCATATCTCAGTAGACCAGAAAGAAAGAGTGCACAGGCTGAAGTAGGAACAGGCTACCATCCTTGAGTCCTGCTTCTCTGTGACCCACTTCCTTCAGCTCAAAGTTCAACAGCTGGAAACAAGTGTTCAAGCACACAAGCCTGTGGGGGACATTTTACTTTCAAACCATAACAGTTACTTTTGCATTACTGTCTTAGTTACTGTTCTATTACTGTGAAGAGACACCATGACCAAGGCAACACTTATAAACAAAATAATTTAGCTTACACTTTTAGAGGGTTAGTCTATGAATCATCATGGTGGAAGCATACAGGCATGGCACTGGAGGAGTAGCCAGTAGCTGAGAGTTTTATATCCTTTCCTCAGGCAGCAGACAGAGAGAGAAGAGGAGGAAGAGGGAGAAAGAGAAAGAGACTGAGAGACTGGGATGGCATGATCTTTTTTGAAATCTTAAAGCCCATCTCCAGTGACCAACCTCCTCCAACTAGGCCACACCTCCTAATCCTTCCCAAACAGTTCCACTAACTGATGACTTAAACGTTCAAATATATGAGCCTATGGGGCCATTCTCATTCAAACCCTCAATCTCTGTGATGAAATTCTTGACAGAATCAACATATGGGAAGAGAACATTATTTTGGTTGATTATTTTGCCTGGGCCTGTTGTGAGGCATGACATCACCATGGAGGGAGTACGTGATAGAGGTGTTTCTTTACTTCATTGTTGAAAAGAAGCAGAGGGGAATCCTAATAGGAAGAGGCCAGGACAAGATCTATTAGCTCCTAACAGGACTATTTCCTCCACCTGGCCCCCACTTCCCACAGTTTCACTACTTCCTACTAGTATATTCAAAGTTTGAGTCTGTCTTTCTTTCCAAATGTTCTTCGCCTTAAGCAGTATCAATGGTCAATGTTCTTTCTTGATATGCTTATAAAAGAATATTAATTTTACTGTAATAATTTAAAGTATGCTTGTGTAAATGTTATTGTTCATGTCTGAGTCCATACATTTTGGGGCTAATGTCTGAGTTTTTTAAATATGCTATGGTGGTTTGAATGACAATGGTCCCCAAAGGCTCAAAGAGAGTGACATTATTAGGAGGTGTGGCCTTGATGGAGTAGGTGTGGGCAAAATGTGTCACTGGGGACATGCTTTGAGATTTCAAGTGCTCAAGCCAGGCCCAGTGTCGCTCTTCCTGCTGCCTGAGCATCCAGAAGTAGAACTCCTAGATACTTCTCCAGCACCCTGTCCACCTGTGAGCTGCCATGCTTCCTACCATGATAATAATAGACTAAAGCTCTGAACTGTAAGCCAGCCACAATTAAATGTTTTCCTTTATAAGAGTTGCTGTGGTCATGGTGTCTCTTCACAGCAATAGAAACCCTAACTAAGAATATGCTTCTAATGGCATATCATATTTTTATTCTCATTTTATCTCTATTCTAATTAAGTTAAATTTATTATTTAAATTGAATTGCATTTAAAAAATTTTTTTAAAGAAGTCTTAGCTTCACAGCAACATTGAACAATAGGTACAGAGATTTTCCATAAGTTCTCTGTCCCTACACATGCATAGCCTCATTAGCAACACACTACCAGAGTGGTGCAGTTACCACAGCTTGTGAACCTGTGATGATATTTCACTATCAAGTTCATAGTTGACTGACATTAGGGTCCACTCTTGGTATTATAGCTTCTATAGACTTAGAAAGGTATGATGACACAGATGCCGGAAAATGCATGATGACAGACATCTATCATGACACTATCACACAAGATACTCAGTTCTTTCTTTTGGACACCTAAAAAGGTCACTGCTGTGGTCAAGGCCATCTAGGTGTTTCTAACCTTATCAACTCACCTGGCTGACCTTCCTCTGAGGTCTGTTTATTTAAAACCGACTGCAGCCTCCAGGCTACAGATATGAGTTACTGAGGCTTCAAAGTAAAGGCGCTATTCTGTTCTACCAGACCTTGGACCCACCACCTGGAGCACTTTGTCATCCTGGGAGCAAGCACCTGGAGCTGTCCTGAACTAAGTACTAGTGCACAGAGGCCGTGCTGCTGCTGCCAGGAAACACATGGGTTTCGTCATCTCCATCTCAGCAGCGTCTCCTCCACAAGCTTATTTTCGTGAGTCTCTTCTCAGAAATGCTCTCTGTGGCAAAGTCACAAATGTTTCCAAGTGTTGCTGTAGACTGTGATGGCCAGAGTCACTGGAGACAATCTACTGCTGTCACTTGATAGAGTGTGTGAGGTCAGGCAGGGGTGTGCACAGTGGTTTAAGTGCTCAATGGGGAGGGCCATCTGACTCAACCAGCCTAGGAAGGAGGCTGACAGAGATGGGACAGAGCAGGCATGACATTTCTGGAAGGAAATGAGTCTGAAAAGTCTTAGACAAAGGATGGGGCAGCCACCCCCAAGGCTTTCTGGAAATCTCTTTTCATGGACTTGTTTTGTTTACCTCTGCTAATCTGTCCCATAATAAAAGAAAACCAGTGGCCACGTGTTGAATTCTTCCTGTGTGTTAGGAGCAATAGAGTGCAGAAGAGGGCTTGGACAAGCTCTTGAAAGCCAAATGCTCATTTCCAGAAAATTCCACAAGGCTGCTGAGAAACATAGCCATTATTAAAAATTAAATTGTATCAACCTAATTAAACTATATTAAACAAAGGTAGTGAGTCCCCCAAGTCACCATGCTCTAAGCATTTCAGTGCACTGACTGCCCTGTCCTTGGAGTTGTTCCTTCCTGCTGTGTCTGCACACCAGATATGCCATAAAATAATGCGACACCCTGAATCTCTTTGTCACAACAGTGGTTTGAAATTAGCGACAGAAGCAGTGTTTAGCCCACAGCAATCAGCAAAGTACACAAACTCGAGCTTGATTCATTGTTTTCTTTATTGTTTTGCCATAAAAGAACAATAGGGTAAATGTTAATAATACAAATTAAGTCTTAAAATGTGTCAGGTCTACAGCAGATGTATTATGAATAGCATGGAAGTCTGAGAAATTATTTCTTCAGTATTTGAAACTATTATTTGACTTAGCAAAGAAATTGTAGTTGTTGTTAGTCAAGCAGGATGTCACCTGCCTGGAACCCCAGACTCAGGAGGCTGAAGCAGGAGAATCATGAATTTGAGGTTAGCCTGGGCTACTTAATGAAACCTTATCACCACCCAGGAAGCTGTTGTTTTCCAATGAGTGAAATTCTGGCACACGTTTTTCTGTTTACTCTTGTCTTGTTAATGTAAGCAAGCAAAAATATCAAACACCTTCATCTCCATGTCATAGCAGTGTTCAGTGGTCGGTGGCAACTACATAGGATACAGGAATTGAATAAAATCAGTGTTATTTTGTGAGAACTAACTGGCTAAATGGAATTTACAACAATGAATATTTTAAGTCTCATTATTTATAGATTATGTTCCAAATCCTTTCAGAATAGTTTACATGAAATATGAATACTTACACTTTTATATAAATACTTATATGTTTAATATAACTTGCATATAGATTATGTTAAAATAAACACAATAAGTAGTCAAAACTCTTATTTTTCTGGGCTGAGGCTGTTGTATTTATTAAGTATCATTTCCTTTGCTATAAATATATTTCCTTCTTTATCTTGCCTTCCAAATTCCATTGAGTCTAATCTCCCTCACTGGGGTCCTGTGTAACAGCCCTTGTGAACAAGGCCTCAGCTTCTACACAGCTCTCTGAACTTCTAGAAAAGGTAGAGCTGAAGAGGGCCTTGAAAACTCAGCTCTGAGCATCTGTTGGGGAGTTCAGTGCTTGGAACAATGATATAACCAAAAGATGTTGACTGAAAGCTCTGGAGACAGAGGAGGGAGAGAGAGAGAATAGTGTGGTCATATATACAGAATAAGGACAAGACTCTAGATCTTCATTTAACTTTTAATTTTTTAGGCCCAGTGTGGTGGAAGATTACTGCAGGTTGGAGGCCAGCCTAGTCTATGTAGCAAGTTATATAGAGAGACCCCGTCTCAAGAAACAAAACCCCAAACAACAGAATCTAAGAAACAGCATCGACATTTTCTTAGTGTTCTTCAAGTTCTGAACACAAGGCAGTTATTTGACTGACTATACCATCATCGATAACAACCCTTGGTGAAGCTACTTTGATTCAAGTTGGCTATGATCCAACCTAGAGGAAACAGCTCCCAAGTGCTCTTTAGTTACCAGGTAATTACATCATTCCAGATATTTGACACGGGCAAACTCAGCTCAGTAGCTAATTCCTCAAACAGGTTGCTTTGTTTTGTTTTGATTTTTGAGGTGCAGTCTCATTACATAGTTCAGGCTGGACCACAAACTTGTGATCCCTTGCCTCAGCCTCCTGAGTGCTGGGATTGTATGCTTGCGCCTCTACCCCTGACTTCTTCGCTTTTTCTTCAATTGCATTCTCTGACCACCTCATTGCCCATGGCATGTACTGGGCATCCCTGCATCATGTGGAAGGAGAAGAACAACGGGATCAAAATCCCAGGAGAAATGCCTCTCTTCCCAGCCCCTTACTTCCCAGCACATCCTGGCTACAAGCCCCTCCTCACACCCCTGTGCAGGGACCAGGTTGGCAGATTGCCTAGTCTTTAAGTCCCAGTCATTATTGACTGGTTGTCTGAGTTTCCTCTTCAGAATATCTGATCACCCAGCTTCCTAAAATAGCCCCAGCCAGGGTCAGATTACCCCTGGCTGCCAGGTCACACCTGCAAGATGAGCTCTACCAACAAGCTTAAGGAGAAACAAATCCATCATACCAGTCGTGACACCTGGGGAAAGTCATCAGGGACCAGTCCCATCTCCAATCACAGCCCAGTGTGGAGTAGACATGTCAGAGAGACTAGGACAACTCATTTACGTCTTCCTTCCTTTCTCATGCCTTCCATCTTCTCCAAGTCTACTATGGAAAATCAAATGGGGAGCAGATCATCATTGCTCTCCTGGATTTCCTGTGTTTGTCCTTGTCCCCTGCAAGTCTACCCTCAAGAAGTAGAGTGTTTGCCTACCACAAATGAAGCCCTAGGTTGGATCCTCAGCACCACATAAAAGGTTTGGTGCTATGCCAGTAATCCTAGCACTTGGAAGGTAGAGGCAGGAGGATCAGAATTTCAAGGTCATCCTTGAAAAGTTGGAGGCTAGCCTGTGCAACATTAAATAGTATCTGAAGACAAACAATAAGACAAGTACGTCAGGATATATCATTGATTTGCTCAGAACTATCCAACAGCTCCTATCCAGTCAGAGGTAAAGCCTTACAATGGCTGGAGGGCCTGAAGCAGTGATTCTTAACCTGTGGGTCGCAACCCATTTGAGGGCCAAACAACCCTTTCACAGGGGTCACTTAAGACCATTGGAAAACACAGATATTTACATTATGATTTGTAACAGTATCAGGGTTACAGTTACCAAGTAGCAACAGAATATCTTTATGGTTGGGGGTTACCACAACATGAGGAACTGTCTGAAAGAGTTGCAGCAGTAGGAAGGTTGGGAACCACTGGCCTACAGGATCTACTCTTATCCCCCTAAGCCTTTACAAACTTGATTCCCTACTATAGTTTCTCTCTCTCCTTCCCATCCACAATCTTGTTGTTCTTTATGCTCACAGACCCCCCCCCCCCACTCCAGGACATTGGCCCACCCAGGACACTCTTCCCCCAGAGATGCTCTCACCCACTCCTTCACTTCCTCAAGTCTTCCTGCAAACCTCAGCTTCTCAGCAAAGCCTACCCTTTGAATGGAGCTAATTATGCCTGGAGGCTGTCTCTAGTCCCTTGCTACTCCTCTTTGATTATTCCCATAGGATGAATCACCTCCTGGCATGACATATAATTTACCTTTGTTCTCTACCCAGTAGATAGGAAATGTCTAAGAAGACACAGATGGCTGTCTTTTTTGTCTAGCTTGTTTGCTAGTGAGTCTCAGGTGTCTACAACACGCACGTAGTAGGAACTCAAGAACTATTTGGTGTGTGATGAGCACCCTTTGAGATGAAGAAAGTGAGGCCTACTCTAAGTTGGAAACACTGAGCCATCTGGGAGCAGAAATCAGTCCCTCTCTTCTGGAGCCCACATCCACCATTGGCTGTCCATCTGCTTCCCACCCACAACTGGCTTTAGGGGCAAGTTCCAGGGGATTCCCTATGGTGCTGAGTGGACAGATATTCTTGGGATGTCCACATTGACTTGTTCACCAAGGTTAAGAAGATGGTTAAGTCATGTGACGACTCTACAATATGGTGGGGTCTTCTTTAAAAAGCCTCTTTACCTGGGTGCCTATGTCCTTGCTTCAACACTTGCAGCACACAACTCTGGCAAGGGGTCTTTGTTGGTGCCAGAGATCCTGAAGGTGGGGAGGGGGGCCCATGGCTGAGGAGGAAGGATCGACCAACTAAGCTGAGTCATGTGAGCAACTGTATTCATAAAGCCAGGGCCTTCTGTGGGGCAGGGAGCCCAAGGCCATCAAATAGAAAACTGCTTCCATGTAAAGGAGCAGACTTGCTGAGGCATCCTCCCTGAGTCCCTTGCTGTGCCTCCCACTTGGACTACTGGTGACTTCATTTCTGACGCGTCTGAGGGGTTTATGAGTCAGCCTCAAGATTCACTTCCATAAGCTCCTTGTCACTAGACACTGAGGTCATCTCATAGCAATGCGTTTGCCTGACAAATTCCCTCAAACCTCAGTGGCTTAGAAGAACAGCCACTGAGCTGGGGAGATGGCTTAGTTGCTAACATGTTTGCCTTGCAATCACAAGGGCTTGCATTTGATCCCCAGAACCCACATAAAAAATATCCACACTCACAATCTCAGCACTAGCTAAGCAGAAGCAGGTGGATCCTTGGGGTTGCTAGCCAACCAAACTAGCCTATTTGGTGAATTCCAGGACAATGGAAGACTGCCCCAATAAACAAGGTGAACGGCTCCTGAGGAATGACACCCAAGGTCGTCCTTTGGCATCCAAACATGTGCCTAAATACTTACACACATGTTCATCCACCTGAATGAACACACACACACACACACACACACACACACACACACACACACACAACTATTGAATTTCCTTATACCTCTAAGTGGCAGTCACCCTGGGTCAGCTGGATGGCCTT